AATAGATGTGTTAAAGCTATTTAATGAGTTAAAAACTTATCTTAGTAATATCAAATATACTATACTTTTAGCTATTAATCTGATAATTGAATTATTAAAACAAGAATTTGCTGATTACAGTATGTTAATGTCAGATGAACTTGAGATTGATAAAGAATGCATATCTAATATTGAAGTTAAAATAAAATAGATGGCATTTTTTTTTTTTTTTTTTACAATATTAAATATTAATTTTTATTTTTATTTTTAAATGAATCATCTGAAAAAGAAAGTTTTGAAGATGATAACTATAGCTCAGATAATACGAATGCCCAACAACCACTTTCCAATAAAAAAATAATTTTACTAGTTCGAAGAGCTATTTATAATTCTCTTGAATATTATTGGGGTAATACAAGAGATATTGGATTAATCACCACTTTATTAGATCCTCAACTAAAATCAATGTTAGTATAGTCAAATCAAATGCGAAATAATACAATTAATAAACTATGTGCTAAATTTAAAGTTTGGCAAAATGCTGCAGCTAATGAATTGGCTGAAAATACTAATAATAAAATATTTTCGCCCACACCTAGCTTTATCAAAAAGATATTTAACCATAGCCAAAGTCAAGTAAACCAAAAAATTGAAATTAATAATTACCTGAATAAGATGATTACACCAAGTCTATCTGATACCACAGATGTTTATAATTGGTGGAATACTAATAAATGCATATTCTTGTATTAAGCTGAATGGTGTGAAAATATTTATCGATCCCTGCTATATCTGTTTCAAGCAAACAGCTTTTTCTAATGCAGAAAATCAAATTACACCCAAAAGAACCCATCTATCATCTGAGGTTGTTAGTGAATTATTATTTGTTAAGAGAAATAGCCTATATTGTAAAAATGCTTAGATCTAAAATACTTATTAGTACATATTAAAGTGAGCTGATTCAATACAATAAAATAACAATAAATCAAAAAAGTGTCTCAAATAAAGAAAATAACAAAAACAAAGCAATATATTTTTTTTACTAGCACACTGTAGTTATTAGAATAAAATATATATAAGTTCATAAATATTTTAGTAAAATATTTTTTATTATTATTTTGAAAGCAATACAAGAAAGTGATATGCTAAAAATGCTGGCTAGTTTTTAGCTTTTGTTTTTTTGTAACTAAAGTGAAAATAATATATAGAACTAAAGGGAAATATTATTTAAAACTAAAGCAAAAATACTATATATATAGAAATATTGTTATTAAATACGATCTAGTAAAAAAGACTATATATATATATACTTATGTTAGGATGGATGAACAAGAATATAAAATTTTAATTGGCTACAAAATGTTACATAACAATATGAGATACTCTACTCTTACTACCCTTAATAGCTTACGCGGGTACAATGGGTAAACTTTTATACTTAAGTATATCTGTGGATTACCCAAGTAACCTGCAAGTTTACTTGCTGGTTAACTGAATAACATTTTTTTGGCTGAGTATAATTACTACCTTCTGGAAATTTACTATCAAATCTGTACTATACTTGGATTTTCACAGGGCTCTATGTTCAATTTTGGCTCCTCACCTGTAGGTTATAGAGTTTTTTTTACCTCCAGCCTGACTCGAACTATAGACCTTGACTTAATTTCTGTAGGGGTTTAACAACTTAACAATTAAGCTATAGATCCCAAACCCTATAAACAACAATATTAATACTTGGTATAAAACAATAAATTCATACTTGTTTTACAGAACAATGACTTAAATAAGGTTAATTTACTTCATTTTAAAGCTAAAATTACTAATTGTTTTTTCTTATAAAATTGAGTTTTTCAACTAAGAAAAAAACAAATACTTGATTATCTATGTTAAAGCTAATATGAAAATATAACTGATAAATACTTTGGTATTAATTTAGTTATTATAATCAGAAAAGCAAAAAAAAACTTCTAAAATTTGCAAACTAGAATCTTTTTAATACTACTAGTATTATGTACTATAAAATGATAGTCAATTTTTAAAAACCAGATTATTCTTGTTTTATTTTTTATCATACTTTAAATATATATACAATATATATTTCAACTTTTTGAGCTATTGTACTATGTGTTATAAGTAATGCTTGGCAAAATCAACCTTATTTAGATACTCAAATACATATAACAGACTGACTTTTAAATCAATACAACAATACTATATTTTATAGTTATTATATTAAACAGGATGAACTGTTAATATTACACAACTAATTTTATACTTGGTATGAAACATATAAAAAAATTATTTTACAATACTTGATTAGACTTGATCAGTTAGCTAGTACATGTTATGTTTATAATCCAGCATCATTTTTTTATAATAAAAAATGGTGCTAGATTATAATCATAACATGTTCTAGCTGACTAATCAAGTCTGATCAAAGTATTGTAAAATAATTTTTTTGTATTTCATATCATGTGTAAAATCAGTTGTAAAATATCAATGGTTCCTCTATTCCGTATTGCTTTAATGATTTAAAAGTCAAATCATCATATATATTTGAGTGTCAAAAAAAAGTTTGATTTTGCTGTGCACTAATTATAAGTGCAGTTTCATTTTATGGAATCCTTGAAATAAGTAATTAAACATAGGCTACTATTGCAATTTACTATAAAAATTGATCACTTAAATTTCATAGAAAAAAATTACTCCCATTATTTGCGAAGTACCCCCAGTGGTACTGACAGAATTTCGCTGATCTGTAATCTAGAGCATTTTGATTAGCCAATCAAAATTTGGTTATTCTTAATTTTTGACTGTTTTTTTAAAATCCTAGTGATGTTTTTCTACTAACCACTCAATTAAACTTAATAAAATAATTTTATTTTAATTCTATACATCCAGGAATTAAAATAAAAAAATTTCATGCAATTAGAATAGTTTTCTATCAAGAAATCTTTGCTAGAAGTTTAAAAAAATATAGAAAATCTTAGAAAAAAAAAACCAAAAACAGATGAATTTTTTCTTTTTTTATACTTCAAACGATGATTTCTTGACAACCAACTATCTGAATTTGGTGAACTTTTTTTATTTTAATTCTGTAGCTTCATAGAATTAAAAAAAAATTTTTTGATTAAATTTGAATAGCTGAATGTCAAGTAATATTCATTATAAGTTAAAAAAAATTTGGCCGCAGCTTTTCTTTTATATGCATCTAAATTTTAAACGAAGATTACTTTGAAATTACCTAGTCAAATCTGATCAATTTTTTTTTATTTTAATTCTATAATCACATAGAATTAAACTAAAGAAATTTTGATCAATTTGACTAGGTAATTGCTGAGTAATCTTCATTCAAAGTTTAGGTGCCTATAAAAGAAAAGCTGTAACCATTTTTTTTTTAATTATAATGAATATTACTCGACATTCAGCTATTCAAACTTGATCAATTTTTTTTATTTTAATTCTATGAAGTTACAGAATTAAAATAAAAAAAGTTTCACCAAATTCGGATAGTTAGTTGTCAAGAAAACTTTATTTAAAGTTTAAGTGAAATTTTTGTTGCCGCATTTCTTTTTATAACTTTTTTTAAAAACATTTAACTGATGATTTTTTGAAAATTAATTGTACGAATTTGATGAAACTTTTTTTATTTTAATTCTGTGGCTTCATGGAATTAAAATAAAAAATTTTTGATCAAATTTGAATAGCTGAATGTCGAGTAATATTCATTATAAGTTAAAAAAAAATTGGCCGCAGCTTTCCTTTTATAGGCACCTAAACTTTGAACGGAGATTACATGGCAATTACCTAGTCAAATTCGATCAAATTTTTTTTTATTTTAATTCTATGTGATTATAGAATTAAAATAAAAAAATATGATCAGATTTGACTAGGTAATTGCCATTTAATCTTCATTCAAAAGGTTAGGTGCCTATAAAAGGAAAGCTGCGGCCAAATTTTTTTTTAATTTATAATGAATTTGATTGTCAAGAAATCTTCGTTTAAAGTATAAAAGAGGAAAAAATTCGTCCGATTTTGGTTTTTTTTTTCCCAAGATTTTAAACTTCTAGCGAAGATTTCTCGACAGAAAACTATCCTAATTCAATGAAACTTTTTTTTCTTTTAATTCCACGGATGTATAGAATTAAAATAAAATTATTTTATTAAGTTTAATTGAGTGGTTAGTAGGAAATCATTGCTAGGATTTTAAAAAAACGGTCAAAAATTAGAAATAAATTTTGATTGGCTGATCAAAATGTTCTAGAACGCAGATCAGCGAAATTCTGTCGGTGCCACTGGGGTACTTATGATCTGCGTGACAAATCGTGTGACTGATATAACAGAATTCCGTGATTTGATTGGCTGAATTTTTTTAATAAATATTCGGTCCGGTCGGCCGGGCCGCAATATGTTGGTCTCAGCCCCAGCCCAAGAATTTTTTTTATCGGCCCATATCACTATAATGCATTCACTAACTATGAAATTAATAAATGCAACCCAAAAAGTCGATAAAAGTATGCTGATTTTTTGATAAAAAATACTTTTTATTTTAATCAAAAAGAAATGTGGCAGACAACAAAGAGTGATTGAAGGTTAATAATTTATTAAGAAATAGTTATATATAATTACATTGCAACGAATTTATAAAATAAACAAAATTTAAAAATATGCCTACTAATATGTAAATATAGATTTTGACTAAGATAATCAACATTTCCCGAATTATGATGCGCCATTTTTAATAAATTTCTACTAATGGGGTATGCAAAGATGGGTTAGACACATTATCATCTAGATCAGAGTCCAAAATTTTTTTTTCAAGGTTACATTGATCAATTAATATGTCAATTTGATAAATAAAATTTAAATTTGGGATAAAATGCTTGGATTTGGTGTCCGAATTTAGCTCAATTTCATAAATTCATCATGATGATGTTCATCGTCTTTTTTCTTAAGAAATTTTTATTATTCAATTTTTACTATAAAAAAAAGAAATTTTAGCCACATTATGCGAACATCAATCAATCGTATTGCAAACATTCACATTTTACATACAAGTGACGTAAGAAGTCATGACTTGCGAATTCTTTTCTTATTACATCAGCAGATAGGTGCCAGTTGAAATAACGAAAATTGCTATTTGGTAAAAAAAATCATTTAATATTTTTGTTATTTAACTTCATTTTTATAATATGATATACCTAATTTCGCCATTAAATCCTCTTGCTGAAAAAGATTGTCCAATATACAAAGGCCCATCGTTGAAGATTATACATTGTTTCTTAACATCCTGGATGCTATAGAATCCTATCCACTCACCATCTATGTATAAATCCAACCTTTTTTTTGATTCGGATAGAGTATAGGCAATATGGTACCATTTTTGTATCAAAAGCCCATCTCCGATTTCATGAATTCCTGCATTATTATCCCAGTTGCCTGTGAAGCGAGCATGAAATGCAGATTTTGATGTTAACCATAGTCCAGGAGTACGGATAAACTCTTCAGTACCTGAATATAATAATACGGAGAATGTATCTATTGCCTATCATATTAGGTTAAATTTTACATAAAAAATAGCTAACTTTACCTTTGTGGAAAATAGAAGTCCAGCCATTAGCAAGACTTTGAAGTTTCAGTCTCAGTGTTATTGAAAGTTCATCTTTTACTCTAGGCAAGTCCGAATTATTGAAAATTCTTTGATCGTGTTCTCCAAAAAAAATTGGGTCTGAAATTAATTCAATCCACTCTCTTACTACAATTCTCTCGATTACCTTCATTTTTCTAATCACATAAATATATTAATAATAATTAAAATTGTTTGTAATATTATTTGTAAATGGAATGTGTTTTCGTACTCAAAAAACTTTTATCTCGTAATATTATGAGTTCAACCTTTTATTATATAAAATTTAAAACAGTGCGGTATTCTTGTCATTATTTACAATTTTGGTTATAAACTTGTCTATATTGTCTTATTAAAATTTTGTATACCGATTTAGATTTGATTTGTATTGTGAGACCTTGTGATTTTCATGCTACATTCTTGTTCCGCAATATTTTTGTTTAAATTTTGTCCTATAAAATTTTGCTATATTTGGACTAGTGATATGAATCGAAAATCGATTAATCGTTTAGTTAGCTGAGTTGATAACTAATCGATTATTGCGGTTTGCATAATTTTGTAACCCCTATGATATTTTTTATGATTAAATGATTGTGATTGCGATCGCGATTACTAAAGCCAACCAATTTATTATGAATCTGTGTTTGCGTTAAGCTCAAATTTATGATAAATTGGCCAGCTTTAGCAATCGCGATTGCAATCACAATCATTTAATCATAAAAAATTAATCATAGGGGTCACAAAATTATACAAACCGCAATAATAATTTTGACACAACTATTAATCTATTAACCAACCAATCGATTAATCGATTAACTATTAATCGATTAATCGATTAATTGATTAGTTACTTTTACATAATTAGCCTTTAAATAAAATTTTTATCAGATTTATACTCATAAATTAGGTCAACTAAACACGATTTATCGATTAATTGATTAATTAGCAATAATCGATTTGTAATCGATTTTTAAAAAATTTCCATCGATTACATTTTTTTGCTCTGATTCATAATACTAATTTGGACGTATGGTGTAATGATTATTTTGATGCATAAACTGTGCCAACTAGTGATTTGACCCGTTTAATAAAATGTGACCAGTGTCACGAGTTTCGTGACGTAGGAGTTGGGCTTAGATAGTTTAATTTATTTTATTTTATTTTTATCCTTTTATTG